GAATTGACTCAACAGCACCCAACAACAACAGCATGTAATATATCACTTTCTAATTTTCATATTGTAATATAAATTAATAAACTAAATAGTAAAACTAGTTTCATAAACTATTTCTTAATTCCTTTACAAACCTGTGTAACTTTTTTATGGCTAGATCATTGCCTATGAGTTCACTGGAATTCTGAGGCTGATACTTTTCTGTCCAAAGCATATCTTCAATTCCAGAATCTAAAGCAAAAAATATTTATTAAGGTATTCTTTCCTTGACATAAACATATGTTGCTAACTTATATTTACAATAATACAACAATATAACCATAGGAATTTATATAAATATTTATATTTACAAAATGCCAAGCAGACAAATTAAAACTTTATATTTAAAATTCTTCATACCACAAACATCCTTCTTAAAAACCTTACCACCATGAAGTGACATGAAAGTGAGGTTTAAAAGTAAACATTTAAATTTTTAAGTATTTTAAGAAATACGAAACATGATAAATAATTTGTATCATAAGAAACAATAGTTTAAAGAGCAAAGGTACATAATCTTTAGTGGAGCTTACTTCTGACCACTGAAAAGAAACTAATTAAAATATCCTACAAAGTTAAGCCAAACAAATAGAGACACTATACTCCTCACTAAGATGAAAAAACTCAAATCCAGGGCTGTGGAGACAAATCAGACCCACAGTGACCCAATAGGACAGGGTAGAACTGCCTCGTAGGGTCTCTAAGGCTGAAATTTTCCTGGAAGCAGACTCTCCCAAAAAGGAGCTGGTGGGTTCGAACCACTGACCTTCAGGTTAGCAGGCAAGTGCTTAATCACTACGCCGCAAGGGCTCCTCTTTAAAAGGGCTGAATATTGTAAAGATGTCAATTCATTCCAAATGAATCTATAAACTAATGCAAATCAAAATCTCAGTTGGATTTTTGGAGGTGGGGAAATGTGACAGTTCATTTAAACTGTCAAGCATGAAAAAATATATATTTAAATTAAATAAGGAAGTAAAAGACCCATGAACTGAAAACTACAAAACACTACTGAAAGAAGTTAAAGATGACCTAAATAAATGTAAAGTCACCTTGTGTTCATAGACTGGAAGACTAGTATTATTAAGATGTCACTACTACCCAGAGCAACTATAGATTCAATACAATCCCTATCAAAATCCCAACAGCCTTTTTTGCAGGAATGAAAAAGCTGATCTTCAAATTCATATGGAATTGCAAGGGGCTCTGAATAGCCAAAAAATCTTGAAAAGGAAAAAAGAACAATTTGGAGGACTCACGCTTCCTGATTTCAAAGCTAGGATAATCAAAACAGTCTGGTTCCGGCATAAGGACAGACATATGACAACAAAACCCATACATCTATGGCTAATTGATTTTCAGCAAGGATGCCAAGGTCATTTAACAGGGAAAGAATAGTCTCTTCAACAAATGGTGCTGGGACAACTGGATTTTCATATGTAAAAGAATGAAGTTGAACCCAACCTTACATCACTTATATGAACGATCTAGACTAGGCAAATTCATAGAAACAGAAAGTTGATTAGGAGTACTAGGGACTGGAGGAACAAAGAGCTATTGTTTGATGGGCAGAGTTGCTGTGTTTGGGGCGATGAAAAATTCTGGAAATAATGATGGCTGCAAAATATTGTGAAGGTAATAAATTCCATTGAATTGTACTTTTAAAGATGGTTAAGATGACAAATGTTATGTTATATACATTTTGCCACAATAAAATAATGATAGGAGATTTGCTTTACTAATTATCAAAACATACTATAAAGCTACACGAATAGATGACTCAATGAACTGAATGGAATAACTCTGGAAAAGCTATATAAACTAAATAAAGCATGTCAGAGATAAGTGAAACAGGTTGTAACATAATACATATACTATGTTCTCAGGTTTAAAAAGATATACACATATTAGTAGAAGCACAAAAATATCAAAGACTAAATACCAATTTGTTAACTGTGCTTCTCTAATTAATAAAGCTTTTATATCTTTTCTTTACACACATATACTGTTAGAATATTGCAATGAGCATATATTAAAAGATGGAAAAAGTGAGAGGTTAAAAAAGGAGATGTTTCAGGACCAGAGGGAGAATATCTAATTTACCAGGAATAGAAGACACTTTTGGTGTAGATTCTTTGTCATCATCTATTATTAGAATTTCAGAATCTTCTACTGTTTCTGTTTCCACTTTACATGCTGGACTCAGAGTGGTCTGTTTCTTCCTGGATGTTTTAGAAAATATACCTTTGGAAGAATCTAACTTTATTCCAGAGGAGTTGTTTCTTTTGTCAAGTTCTTCTGGTTTCCCACTCATCTTTTTTGGACTTCCTGAATACTCATTTGGTTTCTTTCTTTTTGACTTACGATTTTCAGTTTCCATTCGTTTCCTTTTGGTTTCTTTTTGATGAACGTCAGGTTCTAATTGTGGACTTTCTATTTTGGGAATTATAGATATGCATGTACTTACTAATCAACAAAAAGCAATTTTAAAATACTCTAAAATCTTAATAAAGCAATTTTAAAATACTCTAAAATCTTAATAAGGAGTCCTGGTTGCACAGTGGCTAAAGCACTCAGTTGCTAACCAAAAGATCAGTGGTTCAAACCCACCAGCTGCTCCATGGGAGAAAGATGTGAGAGTTTGTTCTCATATAGATTTCAGCCTTGGAAACCCTATGGGCAGCCATACTCTGTCCTATAGGGTTCCTATGAGTGTGAATCCACTCACTGGCAGTAGGTTTAGTATTTTAGTGTACTTTTACTATCAGAATCCTTGATGGGGAGTAAATGATTAATTGCTTGACTATCAACCATAAGGTTATTAGTTCAAACCCATCCAGAGGCACCTCAGAAGAGAGGCCTGGTGATCTGCTTTCGAAAGGACGTAGCCTTGAAAACCCTATGAAGCAGTTCTACTTTGCTCACATGGGGTCATCATAAGTTGGAAATAACTCAATGACACCTAACAACCACAACAACCATCTTAATATAATTTGAAAATGCCCAAGTCTTATTACTATAAAATATAAAGGCAATTGGAGCTCTGGTAGCATAGTGACTAAGGCACTTGACTGCTAACCAGAAGGCTGGTGGTTCAAACCCACCAGCCACTACTCGGAAGGAAAGTTGGGCAATCTACTTCCATAATGATACCACCTCGGAAACCCAAGGAGAGGTCACTATGAGTCGGATTTGACTCGACAGCAATGAGTGAGTTAGTGCTTTTCTTAGACAAGTGATTAATATTTTAACATAATTAAAAGGTGTGTTTAGGTCGGCATCTCTGGAAGCTGACAAGAGCCAACACCGAATGGCACAAGATGCTTTTGTTTTAGTTGCACAATTCTCCCTGACAGCTATAAGCAATGTTCTCTCTGTGGCAATTACTCCTAAGAGTCAATGGCTAAGTCTTAGTGTTTTCAAAACTGAAATTTTAACATAAATTATAATAATCATCACTAACCTTGTTTCCCAAGACATTCAGAAAGTACCACGTGCTCAGTTTGTTTTTTTAGAAGCAAAGGGAAGTAAGTTTTCAAAGAAAATTCAGGATTTGACCACCTAATCTCCTCCAACAAAAGATTTCTTACTTCTTCAGTAAAAGCTTTCCTTGGCCCCACAAACTGCAATAAAGATAAAATGCTTAATAAAACACCCACAATAATGCTAATTATAATACCACCAGCCACTATCTGCTACAAATCAACATTACGTAGTAGTAGCTTTAGTTGGTAAATGCAACCTTGATAACAAAGCGACATTTGTGTAGCACTTGAAAGACTGAGCTCATATTTGTTGTTCTCTCTTTCAATTTATTAGATTTACTCATTTATCAGATTATAATGTTGACTTATAAATGTGATCTATAATGTAATATTCCTTTGAAACTGGAAATCATTCTTAAAATGTTTTTAAAACTCTATGAATATTTAAAAGAGAAGCATACTTCAATCAGTATTTATTCTTAAAATTAGACTGGGAAAAATGAACTCTAAACTATATAGCAGATATTCATTTCTTTTCCTGTGAAACACTATTACAATGCTTAAGCTCTCTAATACTTACCACAACAGGAGAATTATTGCTTTTTGACTTTGAACTCAGTGTTGAAAATTCACCAAGAGCAATAGCACATTTTGAGACATCGACTACATTAGTATTCTGTTCTTTATATTTAGTTAAGAGAGGACAAACAGGTGGTGTCAAATGCCACAAATAGCACCCTAAAAGAAAATAAAAAAATTATCTTAATTCCATTTACACACTATATATTTATTGCAATGCTAAATATGTAAATATTAAAAGACAACAACTACATAAATATGGAAAAGTACCAAAACCCATATACCAAAACACAGGGAACAAAATCCTCATTTCCAACATATAAATTTAATAAAAATCACCTAGTCTTCTCTCTTAATTCTTAAGAGTGAGCAAATATCAGCAAACTTTCTCTTCTTTTTAATACAGCCTTGATACTCAAGGCTAAAATTTTAAGGGCATTTCATATCCTGGTTCAAAGTTGCAACTCTGCAATCAGACAGACCTGGATTCAAATCTGGGCTCTATCACTTACTGCTTATGTGATCATGGGCAAGATCCTAAACCCTAGTTTTCTTATCTGTAAAGTGGGAGTAACTAAGGAGCTCTGGTGACATAGTCATTAAAGTATTCAGCTGCTAACCAAAAAAGGTCATCAGTTCAAACCTACCAGCTGCTCCATGGGAGAAAGATGAGGCACTCTCTTCCCATAAAAATTTACAGCCTTGGAAATCCAATAGGCAGTCCTATACTGTCCTATAGGGTCACTATGAGTTGCAATCGACTTGATGGCAATGGGTTTTTTTTTGTTTTTTAGAGGTTGGGCAATCCTACTTCCGTAGTGATACTGCCTCGGAAACCCAAGGAGGGGTCGCTATGAGTCGGGGCCGATCGACGGCATGTAACAGCAACAACAAAGAGCTGTTATGGGGATAAAACTAGGTATGAACACAAGTGTTCAGCAGAGTTCCAGACAACAGTAAGTGTTCAATAACCATAAGGTTCTATGAAAGAGAAGTTCCTTCTGTGTTTGCCTCACATGCTAATATATAAACAGGCCAAGTTTTACAATGGCACTCCTATGAAAATGGACTTATCAATTTTACAGAAGAAAAGTGTAACTAATTTCTGCAGTTGAACATATTATTAGAAATGCTATATAAAATTGGGCTAGTAGAGATAACACAAAAAGATTCCTCAATTGAATGGCCATTGTTGTTGTTGTTGTTATGTGCCGTCGAGTCGGCCCCGACTCATAGCGACCCCTCCTTGGGTTTCCGAGGCAGTATCACTACGGAAGTAG